GGTTGTCCAGCTCACAGCGAGGCCAGAACATGAGATAGGCGATCAGAAGTATTGTTTATAGGAGCCACAGGCCAAAAAAGGGTTTGGTAACTGCTATTAAAAGGTGCCAAATACTGAAGCCATCTTGCAGGATTTGTGTGAACTGAAGTTCAGATTCCTGTAAACAAGCCCGGACATTCTGATTTTAAGTGGCTGAAGGAGGTGGTCTGAGAAATCCCGTTTGACCACGACTCTGTGTGCAATCGCTCAACCTCGCACTTAGCATCGCTAAATATATCATCTGCAGACAGAATTCAGTGCACAGCTGAACGCAGATAAAACTGAGCTGGAAGGACGGCCGTATATTTCCTGGCTGATTTTATGCTGAACATGCAGCATGTTGTCTTTAAATAAAGCCATCCATCACTGTCCGGGTTTTGCATTTCAATTGTCAATACAAAGACATACAAACGTCATTTTAGAGACAGCAGTCCAGCCTTCCCTTTCTCCATCCTCCTCTTTTCTCTCCTGTCAGATCAGTCGGCAGCAGCGCTTCATATGATGTCTGTTTTATTTTATTTCTTTATTTACGGAGCTAGATACACATCCGTTTTTTGTTTTTTTTTCCCAGGCAACGAGATATCATGGCTTTTCAGTGTGACATCTCATTGTCTGTGTCTGCCGGAGAAGAAAAGCAGAGAGACAGCCTCCGCCCGCGGTCTTAGAGTTGTTGCTGCTGGCTGCTGATGGGCGGACTTTCTGTCTGATTTATGTTTCTGCGGCCTGCCACCGCTCAGATCACACGGCTGACAGCAGCTTACTAACGCTGCTGACTGACAGACAGGCAGCCGGCCTCCTCGCTGCGCCGCGAGTGGCAGCTCGTGAACAGAGAAACTCCGGGTGAGGCAGACCGACGCAAAACGCTCAGGAAAAGTGTCAGAACGGTGAAATCAGAATGTAGGTAAGATGAGGAAATAAACATATTCACACTCGTTAAATCATCATTTAACACTCGGAGAGAGAAAAAGAAGAGAAAACACTACGTCTGTGTTTGATTGTTAGAAGAGGTATTACATTGGACTTCCATTTAGTGTTGAGAGTAAAGATCCATCCATCATCTCTACACCGCTTAATCCTCACTAGGGTCAAGGGGGGCTGGAGCCTATCCCAGCTGCTTCGGGTGAAGGCAGGTTCACCTGGACAGGTAACCAGTCTATCACAGGGCTACACTTAGAGACAGACAACCAAGCACATTCACATTCACACCTACGGACAATTTACAATCACCAATTAACCTCAGCATGTTTCTGGACTGTGGGAGGAAGCCGGAGAACCCGGAGAGAACCCACGAGAACATGGAGACTCCACGTAGAAAGATCGTGAACCGGCGACCTGCTAGCTACGAGGCAACAGCACTAACCACTAATCCACCATGCAGCCCCATCATAAAGATACAGCTTAAAATCTGAGAAATGTAATAAATCGACTTTTTTTTAGACCATGACTCTTCACTAAGTGTGTATCTGAAGGCGGGACCATAGACTGTATAACAGATGGACGTAGCTACCGTGACGTCACCCGTTGGTTTCTGCTCTGAGAACATGAAGCCAGGGTTTTGCTACTTCCTGGTTGACATCTTGGATTTTTGGAGCCAGTGACGCAAAAGGGGGGGCGGAGCCATAGGAGCAGCGATTGGTCAGACGGATTGAGAGGCGGGCCCTCTCTGCCCCGCCCACATTTCCGCCTTCTGCTCGCTTCTTCTGTATGGTCGCTGCCGACTGTCAATCAAGCCAGCCACGCCCCTTGATCGCAAAATTTTGACGATTTTTAAAAAATTCAGTATTGATTTATTTTCAGATCGGCCACCTGATCTCTGGATGTGACCATGAACACTAATAAGAAAAACATCCTGAGCTGGAGGAATGCAGTATTTCATGATCTGTGATCACTTCTTTTCCAATTCCAGTCTATGGGAGCCAAGGCTTTTTGGAGCCAGGACTAGGTTCTGGGTCGGCTTCATTTTTCAGGGCCGGTTCCTACGTCCATCTTTTATACAGTCTATGGGCGGGAGGCAGCTACCTACAACCAAACCAGGGTGGAACAGCAAGCCTGGCTCTACCCGAAGCTACACAGTCGCTGAACACTTCAGAAGTTGTAAAATTATATGAGAGAGGAGAAAGTAGTGGGGTGCATGGCTCAGAGATGGCTCATGACAGCTTCCTGGGCATGTATGTAGCATGGACACATTCCCTCGACATGGAATCATTTTTCACAGTAATCCGACCAGAGCGGCACCATTTGTTGTTAATTAAATCGGAGAGCCATCAGTCCTCTCTTTGTGCCACTCAGATTGTTTTCCCCCGTCTGCCCGAACCGTCTGAAAGCTGGTAATGACGGGACCCACAGTAATTCCTGCAGCTATGTCTTTGTAAAATACACTACAGCAAGTTCACAGGAGCTCCCTGGATCCCTCCCCACAGCTGTTATTGTGCAGCAGTATCACACTGTCTACAATCACAGAAGGTATGGTATCTCCTCTTCTATCAGTCTCTGTTGTCTCTTTCCCTTTCCTGATTTCCGTGGGGATGCCCTCAGCACACCGCGGCCCACTTGCGCCGCCGCTGTTCATAAATGCAACAGATCCACGCTGCCAACCGACTGTGAATATGCAGTTACTTCATGTTTTATGTTTTGTGGTCCACTCTCAATGTGTATTTAGCCCTTTTCCAGACACGTGATGCGTAACATCGCCGCCTCACCAGTCTGTTAAAGCAGCAGCATTCTGTCATTCACACACAGGTCACGGTTATGTTCATATTCCTCACGGCTTCATTTAGACAAACCCAGAGAGCTGCAATATCGGTTGTACACACCAGAATGGAAAGTGCACCAAGTGACATAATAACACGGTAATTAACCGAAGACTAAACTAACAGCAGCTCGTCATGGTGTCCCAATAGGCAGCAGCCTCGTTTGTTTATGATTTCCTAAACATTGTAAATGCTGTGATGATAATCTAACCGTCCCGGGCAGAGTTCAGGGCTCAACCTGAGGACAGCAGATACGTAAGAAATGTTTCTAAGTAGAAGAAAAAGTGTGACTCTGCGTGACAGCTCACCTGTCTGAGGTGAAGACAGCCACA